ATAAATTGAATAAAAAACGTACTTACAAATAGAGAGCAGGCGAACTGCTCTATGATGACAGCATAAGTGGATTGATCCCCACTTAAGGATTTCTTGGGGTACTGGAATCTTCCAATTTGTTGGTACAAACCAATAAGTGGTTAAAATAATAATAAAATAATTCAGTAAAATAACTATAAAAATAAATATTAAAAAGCCAGGGTAAAAATAAAAGAAATGTGTATAAAAAGATAATTGGCACAAATAAATAACCAAATTAACTTTAATATTAAAACACAATTAAATATCCATAACGCGTTTCGTCACAAAAGACTTTATCAAATGAAATAACATTTTCTACCTGGCATATAGGGGTTATATAGGACACAGTTAATTTGAATATGGGCGCCAAAAATTGGTACAGCCAATCAAAGTGCTTAATTTGTAGGCAAACTTAAACCTTTAAAATAAATACATTATTTTTAAATCTTACTGATCTATTTAAATGAATACTGATCTATTTAAAATATGTTTGAAGTAAAAACGAAAGGGAGAAAGTGTTTAATTTTCTTAATAAAGTTGGTCACATGATTTTCGGCACTTCCGCGAACCGAAAGTGCCGAACGGCATCATGGGAAATGTAGTATTGTGCCGAAAATGGCGGCCGGAATGCCGAATAGGAAGGGGATGGGTTTAGGTTATAAATGTGATTCGGCCATATTGGGGATGGAAATGGGGTGGAGTGGCAGCCATATTGTGGAGGGCAAATGTTAATAGGTAAAAATAGAGCAGTATTGCACATAAGAAATATATAATAAAACATTGAATAATAAAAAAACACAGAATAATAAAAATAACAATAAAATAATAATACAGATAGTACCTTTTTAGGCAATAAGACCAATGAAAAGATAAAACAAAAGAAAACAATGAAATGTTAAAAAGTGACTATTAAGCAATAAATAATAAAAACACTGAGAATAGCAGAAAATAAGAACAATAAGATTAAAAATGGAGTAATAATAAAGAAGCTGAGAGCAAATAGAAAACAATAAGTGAATACAGTAGTAAGGATAAAACTTAGTTAAAGGTATATACACAGAAAATCATAAAAAGTTATGTAGATCGAAATCTGCATTTAGACCGTGGGGTATAAGGGTCTTAAGGTTATAAATAATTTTATTTATATATATGTATGTATATATATATATATATATATATATATATATATATATATATACAGGGAGTGCAGAATTATTAGGCAAATTAGTATTTTGACCACATCATCCTCTTTATGCATGTTGTCTTACTCCAAGCTGTATAGGCTCGAAAGCCTACTACCAATTAAGCATATTAGGTGATGTGCATCTCTGTAATGAGAAGGGGTGTGGTCTAATGACATCAACACCCTATATCAGGTGTGCATGATTATTAGGCAACTTCCTTTCCTTTGGCAAAATGGGTCAAAAGAAGGACTTGACAGGCTCAGAAAAGTCAAAAATAGTGAGATATCTTGCAGAGGGATGCAGCACTCTTAAAATTGCAAAGCTTCTGAAGCGTGATCATCGAACAATCAAGCGTTTCATTCAAAATAGTCAACAGGGTCGCAAGAAGCGTGTGGAAAAACCAAGGCGCAAAATAACTGCCCATGAACTGAGAAAAGTCAAGCGTGCAGCTGCCACGATGCCACTTGCCACCAGTTTGGCCATATTTCAGAGCTGCAACATCACTGGAGTGCCCAAAAGCACAAGGTGTGCAATACTCAGAGACATGGCCAAGGTAAGAAAGGCTGAAAGACGACCACCACTGAACAAGACACACAAGCTGAAACGTCAAGACTGGGCCAAGAAATATCTCAAGACTGATTTTTCTAAGGTTTTATGGACTGATGAAATGAGAGTGAGTCTTGATGGGCCAGATGGATGGGCCCGTGGCTGGATTGGTAAAGGGCAGAGAGCTCCAGTCCGACTCAGACGCCAGCAAGGTGGAGGTGGAGTACTGGTTTGGGCTGGTATCATCAAAGATGAGCTTGTGGGGCCTTTTCGGGTTGAGGATGGAGTCAAGCTCAACTCCCAGTCCTACTGCCAGTTCCTGGAAGACACCTTCTTCAAGCAGTGGTACAGGAAGAAGTCTGCATCCTTCAAGAAAAACATGATTTTCATGCAGGACAATGCTCCATCACACGCGTCCAAGTACTCCACAGCGTGGCTGGCAAGAAAGGGTATAAAAGAAGAAAATCTAATGACATGGCCTCCTTGTTCACCTGATCTGAACCCCATTGAGAACCTGTGGTCCATCATCAAATGTGAGATTTACAAGGAGGGAAAACAGTACACCTCTCTGAACAGTGTCTGGGAGGCTGTGGTTGCTGCTGCACGCAATGTTGATGGTGAACAGATCAAAACACTGACAGAATCCATGGATGGCAGGCTTTTGAGTGTCCTTGCAAAGAAAGGTGGCTATATTGGTCACTGATTTGTTTTTGTTTTGTTTTTGAATGTCAGAAATGTATATTTGTGAATGTTGAGATGTTATATTGGTTTCACTGGTGATAATAAATAATTGAAATGGGTATATATTTGTTTTTTGTTAAGTTGCCTAATAATTATGCACAGTAATAGTCACCTGCACACACAGATATCCCCCTAACATAGCTAAAACTAAAAACAAACTAAAAACTACTTCCAAAAATATTCAGCTTTGATATTAATGAGTTTTTTGGGTTCATTGAGAACATGGTTGTTGTTCAATAATAAAATTAATCCTCAAAAATACAACTTGCCTAATAATTCTGCACTCCCTGTATGTGTGTATATATGTTTACAGGCATTAGGGAGACTGCCTGAGAGCTCAGGCAGGCCCCCTGCCGGCACTGCATAAGCCGGCTATTCCATCCATGTGATCGCGAGGACTCCGCCCAGGAAAACCCCAGGATCGTGACCGCCACCGGGGAAATGGCGGGGACCTGGTAAGTGCCCTGGACCGTGGGGACGTTCTATGCCGCCCCCGCCGACGTCTAGGATAGCCCCAAAAAGGACGGTATAGAATGTCCGCCGTCCTTAAAGGGTTAAAGATAATAGCAAGTGATGCATGTCCCAAATATGTATTTGTGAGGGATAAAACATGTAGTTAAATACAGAAATCCATACATTGTTTCCTGAAAATGGTTGGTGCCCTGCCAATCATTGTTACAAACTTGCCCCTTAGCACATGGCAGTCAGGGAGAGTCGGAGAGAGCATACATTAAACAATGTTTCCAGAGCATGCACTACACAATGTTTCATCATTTGCAATATTTGTCCTGGCTTTACCTCATCTGAATTGGATTATCATGCAATGTGCTAAATCTTTAATTTAAATTTAAAGAAAATGGTGCATTTTAAGAAAAGTCCTAACTGCAAATTATAGATAACTTGCAATGTTTTATTTAATTATGTAAATTCCAAAAAAGTGTAAATTCCTCTTTCAATTCAGTCTTCCTTAATGCCTTGAAGTAGAGTGGCGAGAACAGATCACCGGTTTCACCCCATGTCTCAAAGCATAACTAGAGCTACATATTGTCATATTTCACTGCATTCAATTTTCTTTTTTTTTATCAATATCTTCACTGCATTCAATTTTCATTTATTTATTTTTGATCTACAGACATTCAGATTCCAGAATATGTTATGTTTGAATAATGTACACGTGAATATACTGTAAATCAAACCTGTATATTATTTGTCTATTCAGATCTTCCACTATTTTACAAGTCACCGATATTTCTCATGTTGTTTAATTTTTGGGGTTAGTAAAATGAAATCTCTTTGTTGCAAGCATTTCAAAGTGCTTTATAATTCTGCATTTTGTTCTTTGAGTCCTTGTTACAGTTGTTTTGTCTGTCCTGGGGAACGTAAATGTGCAAAGGCTGCAAGTAATATTTCACTTCAGATCAAATACATTTTGCAGTTCAAATACATTTGATGAGGCAAATGAAATAAATCTAAAAATGTTCATCGGAAATTGCTAAGATTATTTTCTGTGATACTGCTACACACTTTCACCTCTAGGTCATAGGTGCCTAGTGACTGCTATAAAGCTACCTATCATTATCTTGGCAGCTGTACAATCATTCTTTAAAATGAGTTCCACACTTCACTCTAATTCACACTAAACAAGTTTTGACATCACAAAAATCAGTTTAATACCAAAAATGGTTCACCTGGGCAAACATTGGAAGAAGCTAGTCATTGAAAAAGGTTATAATTTTTAAACAAATAGTACTTTAATATTGTAAAAGTACTAAAGTACTATTAAAGTATGCTGTAAATTACATAGTTACATAACTGAAAAAAGACTTGCATCCATCAAGTTCAGTCTTTCTCACATATGTTTTTGATGTTGATACAAAAATTGTAAATTATACTGTAAAACAGTAATTTAAATCACACTTTATATAGATAAGGCAAGTGTTTTAAATGTGAATTTGGAAAAGAGAGTCAGAATACTAAGTTAGCAGTTATTGTAGGTTAAATAATTGCATGGAGGATATTTGGAAATACAATAATATTTTACACACATATTATGGGTTCAGAGATTTTTCAATAAGTATTTTTTTTGTTTGTAATTCTTTATTTTTGATGTACAGCGAAATAACATGGATATGATACACATTCAAAGTAATAAGTCACATAGAAAATAATCCAATAAACATTACAAGGACACTGCACATATTTCTTGATAAATAAAAGGAATGACAATAGTAAGTCAATGCATAGGGATTGCAAAAGAGGTAAAAATTAGATCAGGACATATGCAGTGGATGTTTATACAGGCTATAGTAGTTTTGCCCATGCTAGTTAAGCAGAATGAGAGAATTGTAGTACACCCACGAGTTCCCCACTATTAGGAAGCCAGATCCCAAGCAAGCAAGGCATTATTTGGAGGAAGATAAATCAACAGGTATATATAGGTAGCTTAAAACATAAGTAAAATGAACATGTGGCAGGGAAGCTGGTGCGTTGCCATCAGGAGTCTCCTTTTTACATCAACCTATACCCCTCTGGGGTAGGCTGCAGCAGAGCTTTGGTATAATGGTCGCCAGATGTAAGGTCCCATTGTGCACGCTCTGTATCAAGCTGCAGAGGTATACGAGTGGGCTGGGTGGCTGTTCCGTTCTCCCCTCTGATATAGTAGAGTGGTGTCTGCTTGAGTGGAAGCGTGTTGTGTGGTTGCGCCCGCTGTTTGGCACTCTGACACATGGTCGGAGTCTCCTCTTTGTGCAGACTAGACGCAGGGAACTCCCCTTCCTCTGCTTCACTGTTGGGTCGACCCAACATGTCCCTCTCTCCACTGCTGGAGTCAGAAGACCCTGTGGCATCCGCCATGTTGCCTGCCATGCGGTATCAGGTATGAGTTGGTGCCGCACGCACTCAGCTTTCAAGGGATCCCCCAAGGTGTGGACCGGGATTACCCCCACCAATCCAAAGGGGGGGGGGGGCACCTGATGAGTAGACTCTTGGATCAGGTCGCTCCAGAAAGGACATTGGCCGCCTCTCCCTTCCTCGATGCACACTAGGCCGCAAGATGTTTAGAGCCACCTCCAAAACCGTGCCGACCATGGACACAGCTTGTCACTGGTAGGTGAGTCAAACCCTGGCTAGGGTAGCTTTTGTGTTTCTTTATTTTGCTTTAGAGTGCAGCAGTGCCCATAGTGGACCGGAGCTCTCAGAGCACACATCATGCAGGCATGGCAGTCAGGCCCCGTCCCCCTTCAATAAGTAATTTTAATGCACTTTTTTCTTATTTATATAAGAAGCATTGTCTTACAGTTATTGCTTGGACATTCTTACTGAACAGCAAGGAGGGTGCAACTCTTCATAGCTGCTGACATGAATGCAAAACATCAAACAAGGAGCAGAAGCCAGATATACTGATAACATATTCTCCATTTGATTTAAGGGACACACAATTAAAAGAAAACACTGTTTAGTAAATATACCCCTGATGGGAGCATGCCTGCATTTAATAATGGTTTTTTTTTTCATAGTGAATATACATAATACAGCTTGCAAAAGCTGCAGATCTTTTATCTGAAGCCTTTGCAATCCCACCCCCTCTAACCCAGCCCAGAGTTTCTCTAGCTATCCAATTACAGATTTCCCAAGACAGCTCAGATTTCCCAAGGCTGGTGCTCTGGACAATTGCCTGCCTCTTGACTTTAGCACCAATGAGCTGTAATGAAAAGCATTTGGATTCATGTGTAGCACTTGCCACGCATGCACATCAGTCCTCAATGTTCCCCTCTGAACTATCTGGGAGGGAGCTGTATGATGTCACAGGAGCTAAAGTATCTGACAGCACTGAGAGAGTCTCAGTGCTGGAAAAAAAAGATAAGTAAAAAAAACTGTGATGGGGATGTGATCTAAAACTAATCTGCAAATAGAACAGTATGATGTTAGAGATACAGGTTTGTATTTCTGATTCTATAATGCTCCTTTAATGTGTGTATTATATTTGTGAAACTGTGCTAATAAATCAGACACACCAAGAATACTGAGCTCCTACAAAAGGGGGCCATCTAAATAGAAAAGTGACATCAGGACCAAAATAGATACTTTTCCTTTCTAAACAGGGACTCTTGGGAGTTATGTCTTGTTATGCTTTGCCACTACTGACATGAACTAGTGGGGTTTTCCAAACCTTTAGTCACGTACATATTGAAGAGGGACAAGACACGCAGTAATGGATCCCACTTCTTTGACGCCTCTCAGACAAGGACAACAACTTGAGAATCCATAATTATATGTGAGAAAATGTCCAAGCACACAACTGGTTGATCCAAAGCAGGCTTTATTAAGACACAGGGATTTGCAACATTTTGACTCATTAGAAGTTCTTTTCAATAAAGTCTCCTTTGGATCATCTAGTTGTGTGCCAGACACTTATCATAACCTATAGTCATGATTAAAACAAAAAAGAGCTTGTTAATAAATTACCAAAATGTATAAAGATTTGTGTTTATTTTAAACACTATTCGCCAATTAAAATGTTTAATTACAGCACGTATATTCATAGTTAACCCTATCTAATTGCAATATTAAAAAGTGCACAAAATAAGTGCCATTATCTATTTATTGAAAGTTGCATACAAGATGTCAGTACATAACTCCTGGTAAAAGCTTCTATTCCCTTCAGATATTTGTTTCTCTTCTTGGGAATAATTTTCTTGTTCTAGTCTCACTTCACTGCTCCCACTTGTTTTTTTGTGCAGACTGAACAAACAAATCCTGAAATAAGTACAAAAAGAATTATACAAGATCAGTCAGCCTTTAAATATCTTGGCATTACTTTAAATATATTCCTTTGCAATGCAGTCTATATAATCACATATTAATTTGACAATACAATTACATTTGTTGATTTGTTTTTTACACAGAGATTTGATTCACATTGTAAAAAGTAAAACTGAAATATTAAGATGAGCTATAATAAGTATTATATATTATAATTTTATATATATATATATATATATATATATATATATATATATATATATATAATTAAAATATATTATATTTAAATATATATATACATAAATATATATATATATATTTGTAGTTGGGGACAATAAGCTGAACATAACGCTGTTGGTTATGGGGTGAGAGTCGGTTATTGTGTGCCTAAACCGACGATCAGGTAGGCCTGAAATAAAGGAGGGCAAAAAGATTTAATCATAACACTTTAATGCTTATGTCAGTTACAGAACAAATTATTTGAAGGCTTTCCTTAGTTCTTTCTCAGGTTGTGGAATGTACTTACTGTAAGCTGCTGATTTCCACCTACCTAATTTCTTAATTATGTTAACTGGCACATTTCTGCTGGAAGCGGCAGATGCGACGCCGATCCTGAATGAGTGACCTGTGATGGACAATGGGTTGTATCCTATTTTAGTGGCCAGGGTCCTCACATAGTACATGAATTTAGCGGTGGTGAGTGGTTTGTCGCGTATTATGAACAGAGGTGCATAACGCTCTTGCGCTGTGAGAGAGAGGCAAAAAGTATCCAATACTACCACTGGACACCATTTGTTGTGAGTCGGATAATATTGGATCTCTATCGGGTGGCCCAACTGATTTGTCTTGGAACATCGTAGTTGCAGTACGAAATGGTTTCCCTGTTTGTGTAGGTCCATTATTCTGAGGTAACCCGGATTTCAGGATAATCTTTCTATAGTAAATTTGTTGGGCCGTAGGAACCCATAGAATGCTACGTACATGGCAGATTTGATTGTATTGATTGTATGAGGTTCGAATGGGTTGGTGTTTAGTAAGTCTGATAGTGCCTTGAATTTCTATCCATCTATAAGTTGTCTTCTAGTGTTAGGGGGGCCATCAGCTCGCTGTGTACCTTTGAGCACATTTTTCAGGTGGTAAGATGACATGAATGGTCTGTGAGTGGGGAATGAGCTATTTAGGTAGTGTTGTACTCTCGTCAGATACAACTTAATTGTGTTGTGTGCCAGTTTCAGGTGTAAATGGCAGTGGGTGGTGAATGCAACAATCGTGTCAATGGAGAAAGTGTCAGTGATACAGTGCTCTGCCGTAAACCTGTTGAAGATTGTCATTGCTCTGTTGTAGGTTTTCTTAGTATTGTCCGACAAGGCGGCTTTTGCCAAAGTTTGGGCATGTTACATTAGGTGGATCAGGCCATTATCAGTTCTCGGAAATCTACTCCACATTAACAAGTCTGCTTTTGCGTGAGAGTAGAGAGAAAAAGAGCTATTGTCATAAGGGGCCTCCGGTAGGAGGTGTAGTAGTTATGATATGAATGAGCTGCCCTGTGGTATTATATGAATTGCGAAGTTGAGAGAGGCGAAAAGTTTGGGGTGCTCTTGAGCCCAAACGTCAGATGCGTGGCGAAATAGTACTGGTCTTTCCATTTGATGCCTTGTAAATGCCTCAGTGATGGTTGTATGAGTAGCAACTTGAAAACATTTGAGATATCCATTTTTCCCAGCCAAGCAACGTACCCAGCTTTCAAGATTGCTCCTATGGCATTGTACACTGTGGCATATTGTTGTAAGAATTCTTCAGAAGGTATGAGTGAATCTAGGCTTGTAATAAATGAGGAATGAGGTGTGTAGATGCCAATGATCAAATGTTTTTTAATATTGAACTTGCCAGTCGCAATGCCAATTGGTTTGGTTCTCCAATTGGAATAGGGGGGCTGTTTGAAGGGACCTATCATGAAGCCATGGTTTAGTTCTGCTGTAAGCAGTCCACATCTAAGGTGGCTGATTGGAGGTTCTTACATTCTAAGGTCCCCCTGGGGAGTGCCACTAGCCCAGTGTGGAACCCTTCTGTGAACCCCCTGAGGAGGAAATTGACCAAGTGAATTTTGAGGGTGATTGGTTAGATAGTGAGCTAAATTGGGAATGTTAATTTCGGTGAGTCATTGTTTGGGGAACAGCCTGTTGGGGCACATGGTCTTTGCGTGGGCTCTGAAGCAAAGGGAACAGACATCAAACAATCCACATGCGCTAAAGCTGCAACCTTCTGCATTAAAGTTGTTGCATATATGTGCCTTGCCTAGGAAAACAAATATGCCTGCCAAGCTTGTCTTTGAGTCTCCTTTCAGACTTGTTGAGTATGAATGTGACCAGGCTGGTAGTAGGCAAGCTGGGTTCACAGGGACAAAAATTGGTAGAGTGTGCGCTTGAAGTGCATAAGGCAGAAGACGGAGGCTTGAGACTAGCAAAGTGGCGGCAGAACAGCTCTTTGTCAAGTTAGCTACAGTTGGAGCGGATGTTAAATTGGATCAGTGCTGCCACAGCTTGGCTAGAAAAAGTCTATGATAATCATAGAAAGAATGGCCTCTGTACTTGTTCCCCAGGTCTACCAATTTATGGAGGTATAAGTCTAGTTCTTCCCTACAATGGAGGGAAGTGGAGCAAATAACGTCCCTGTACAGGCTGAATTCTATCACAAAGTCGTGAATGAATAATTTTTTATTAAGCCTAGGGTCCCTGGCTTTGAGCATCATGGACACATCACCATAACAGAAAGCCATATTTTCCACCATGTCTTGGAATGCAATCAAGAGGGAGACTTCATTTACGTCTTTACCTTCTAGAATGTCTTTTTTGATAGTCTGGGGCACTAAGTGCGCAAGTGTAATGATGTGTGTGGTGACTAGTGCAGGAGTAGTTGCAGAGCTGTTACCCAGGGATCTGGATGTCGGTGGGAGTGTGGTGGGGGTGGCCGCCTGGGTGATTATGGCAATGTGGGCTTCCAATTTCTCCAGTCTCTCATTAATAATATTAACTGATGTCAGGAGGGATGACATAGTAGCCTGAAGTCCTGCCGTGCTTTTGTAGCTGTTCCTT